TTTTTAGAAGGCGTAGTCCTACAGACTACGCCGGACCGTTTATGATACATATCTATTACCGGACCAGTTAAGGGTTAATATAATTGTTATATTTTTTCACTTTTTTTCCCGTATTGCTTCCCTTAACTTAACTTTGCTATATTAACAAGCATTGCAGTTTTTTCAGAGATGTTAACTGTCCCCCTTTTTTTAAGTACTCGTATAAGGATTCTGGGTCATATATGGTAAAATTGTGGAAAGCGAACGAAGATGGGAATGATATTCATACCATGGGTAACTTAGATCCAATGTATTTTGGTCGATGGCTAAAAGCATAAAGTGTTTGGTTTGGTTAGGTTAGGTTAGTTCAAACATAAGGAATATTTGGTTGATGTTTACCATCAAAATCTTAAAAATAGAGAAGTTGTCTAAAAATATACTACAATACGGATATAGTATAATCCTTTATCGTCAATTTCCTTCTTAGTAAAGTTTCTCGCAAAGGTAAGAGTGGGAATAGAATTTATGTCTTTGAATTTAGCTAATGAATTTTTTAATGATCTTTTCAGACAAATTAATAAAGGTTAAGGATCTAGAAGCATACATATCTTTAAGTCTAGTCTCTTGCACGAGAGCGATCAGAGGAGTTTTCAAAAAAAATCTCTATGGAAAAGATTGTTTCAGAGCAGATGTTGGGGGGTTTCAGATAAAAAAAACAAGATTTGGTATGTTAGTAAATTATGACATAAATTAGGATTGATTGACGGGTATTCAATTTTTTTGGGCCGCTTCCTGTTTTACCGGAAATGACTACAACTTTTAATTTTTAAATGGTATCCTCGGTATTTCTCTACTTTATTCGATAGAAAATGACACTCTGAATAGAATGTCATATCATATGTCAACTTTTGACATTTCGAATATGGTTTATTTGAAATTGCAACATGCGAATCATAACGACAATTTGACTCGAAATACCAAGTGTGTGGTATCAAACTATTCGTAAAAAAATGCTTTTTGCAAATATGTGAATGAGTCACCCTCGTTCTATTTGAAAAAATTGAGATATGATTAAAAATACGATTTGGGCATCTTTTAACCGGCCAGAACAAGACACTAAAAACATTAGACGATCAAATCTATTTTTCCAAGGCTCCTTGATTAAAAATTAGTGTTTTTAACACATCTATGGCACTCTAGATTGAAATTTAAAATACAATTTTGTCTAAAGCGAAAATGTCAAAAGTTGACATATGATAAAAAATGTCTATACCTATGTGGCGGATTCATCTATCCAAAATCCTTATGGGTTTTTCGCCACTGCACTGCAAGAAAAATCTACAAAATAAAATAGTTATTTTTTGTAAACACTTCTGGCGTTAAACCTAAACGGACGCTGCTTGACATACGATATGTCATTTTATTCAGAGTGTCATTTTCTATCGAATAAAGTAAAAAATTACCGACGGTGTCATTTAAAAATCAAAAGTTGTAGTCATTTCCGCTGAAACAGGAAGAATTAAATACGTTAATCAATCCTAATTTATGTCATATACTAACATATCAAATCTCGTTTATATAAAAAAAAGTTATAGGGGTGAACCACTTTTGAGACGCACCCGGTAGATATTTAAGATTTTTTTTCAGGCATATACGAGTATATCGGCATAATACCAGTACTTGACAACACTATATTACAGTACGTCGATCCGTTCTGTAGCTACGGGGCATCTGTAAAGGGGGAAACGATATTCACTCAATGTTTTTTGTAAAAAATTAGAGGACGCGTCCCATCAATAAAAATTTGACAAATTTACAAATAGCCAATAAAATGAGTGGGCGGCGCGAGGCGGCGCGCGGCGGAGCGATTTGCGGTGACATACTCGTCAAGTCGACGTATAAAATATATTGCTGTTTATTTAAATGTTTTTTTTGTCCGCATTCCTGTCATAGACAGATCCAGTAGACGTACTTTAATTATACTAACGTTGTTTTGCTTCCATTGTTCTTTATTCTTTCAATGCGCAGTAGTGAACGCAACGTCTATCGACAGCCAGACGGCCCGTACGCTGTTCCAGAGAGCATAGTAAAAGCCAGCTTTCTTAAAATTCTTGTTTTCCGGACGTTGCTAGCTCTCGTACTATAAGGCCCCATTGATACTTATTGAATTTTTAACAAATGTTTACAACATAATTTTAAATAAAGAAGTTAATATTCCTTCAGACTAGAAAATATTTTGCATTGTCCCACTTTAAAAAATAATTGTAAATCCGATCAATTATAATTCTTACCGACCAATTGCCTTAGGTTTGTGTATTTTTTGAAAGAAAATCAAAATCAGTGACAAATTTTTTTTTTTTGAAAGTATTATAAAAAACCGACTGGAACATTTTTTGAAAAGCGCTAAATTCTTTAACAATGGTCAAAATGGATTTAGAAAATGTAGGAGGGCCACTCACAAATATTGGCGTTATCGAGCTTTATATGCAAGTTCTTCTCTAGAAAAGAAATGGTTGGGTTAAGTGTCCGTTTTGTTGATTTTAAAGGGGCATATGGAGAGGTAACGTTGAGACTCTAAGTAATATTTTACAGTCTGGAAAGGCTAATGGTAAGAGTGATAGACATCATTAATAATCTTCTGAAAGATAGAACTATGTATGTCAGATCACAGGGATTACCCCTCCTTTTTAAATGTTTTTTTCTATGCTTGTTCTAAATGTATTAAAAACATTTTTAATAGATTTAGAATACTACAACAGATTTTATTAAGGACTAATATATGATTTTAATTTGATTTTCTTTGTGAAGAGCATTAAAACATTTTACTGCCCAATACCCCTGACCACTCTGGAACCTCTTCAGCCTCCAAATTTATTTCAGTAGCCTGGCGCAGTCCCTGTCTGTTAGTTGCTGGACCTGCCATAGTACATGTCTCTCCTTTGTTATTACCTAATCTTATACTACCTGGTTTATAAAACACCAATTTAGAAGATCTCAGAACAGTATGGACTGTTAAAAGAATTTTAGGTTTTTGACTGGCCATTGAAAGATGCGTAGTCATCGAGAAACAAGAAGATGAATTTAGTTTATAATAGGAATGTAATACTCGACTAAAAATAATGTTTATTTATAAATATAATAGCATGGCATTGAGGAAGATGCATATATTTTATTTTTCGCCAGAAACTGTTCAATTTATTAGAATAAATATGTATAAATTCAAAAAAAACTTTTTTCTTGAAAGCAGTACCACAATTTTATAAAATGGGCCATTAAAATACTATGGATAACGCAAACGACGCCTCGCGAATTGAAACGATATTCTATTGGTCTGACGCCACCCGCCGTTCTCGTCGACGTGCGATGGCCAGCAGCAGCCAGACGTATTCCGTTTATGTACGTATTTAGGTGGCGTACTAAGATATTTTTGTTGCTTTTAGCGTTGATTGAAGGAGTTTTTTATGCTTTTTTGTGCAGTTAGTATTTGTATGTGTTGTGTGTTCTGAGAATTTTTTAAGTAATGGCAGATTCCGGGTTTGTAAAAGCACAATCAGATAACTTGCTAAAAGTCGATGCTTTTATGTTGGCTGCTTTTATAAATAGAAATTCCCAATTTATTGGTGCTGAATTACAAGGAAAAAAACAGAGAGGTATGTAACATTTATTCTTTGTAGTACTGAGGCATATTTAAGTATAAGTAGGTACCTACTGTTATGAACTTTTATATAGTTATAAATTAATGTTATAAACTTATTTTTCAGATCAGGTAGGGAGACGTATGGAGATAATGCTGTAGGTTATGTAGAAGTGAAAAGAGACAAAAATATTTCTTTAGTACGTGGAAAAATAACTCCAGAGCATAGCGTGAAAAAGAAAGTTTTACCCCTTACCCTTGTTATTTTTAAAGATTGTTTTTTTTACGAAATTATAGGAAATAAATTGTGTATCAGTAATGAAAATATTATACAAGGTGTCCCATAAGCAAACGCCAAAATTAAGTTACTTTTTTAAGTTAACACCCTATATATTTTTGGATTCTTCGGAAATTTCTAGATATTCTAGATATATTTCATGTATAATATCCTATACCTATCTTCAAATGTTTACGAAATATTGACAGTTGAAAAGCGAAAAATACCTACAATTTTCTGGACCACCTTTTTTTGAGACACCCTGTATAACTAGAATTAATTTTAAAAGAGAGTATATGAAAAACCATGCAACTTTTTTATTTAATGTTTTCTTCTAAAACTTGCAGTTAAGGCTGTATGTGGGTGTCAAAATATAATGAATAACCCTGTACATTCAAATTTCGTATACCTATATAAGATAATATACATAAATGTATGAACTTACATCAAAATGATCTTCACAACAATAAATCGTAAAAATAGAGGATAATTTAACGTTTTTCTTTTCATCTCTTCTCATGGCCTTGGAGCATTTTTTTCTGTTTTCGCTCATCCATTACTATTTATAAATATCACTAATTAGTAATTATGTATTAATTAACACAAATAACTAAAATTTTGATACGGATTCAACAGTGTTTAAAAGCAAACTGTGTAAAATAAACACGCGTCTGGCTCCACTCAACCAGAAGAACGGCGGGTGACGTCACAGCGGCAAGGCGCGCTAGAGAGCGTTTGCCCGGCCATTTAAATTAACAATATTTAATTATTTTATATTAGAGGCATTTCTTAACCGATATCAACGATTTTTTTTTGTTCAATTTGTAATTATATGAACTATTTTTTAAAACCATTATTTGCAAACATGCATTTTCCTCTTTCTTAAGAAATTTTTCATCAAAATAGGGAGACTTGGATAGTATGTATACTCTTCACAGAGCTCACACTCTTCTCCAGTTAAGCCTTTAATTAGTAATGTGACAACTAGCTTTAGACTATAAGCTAACCAAGTAAAAATGTAACACACCCAATAAACAAATATCATTAACTAATCATTTTTTTTGGGGGGCATAACTTACATAAGTTTCTTATTAAAACTGCATAACTTACCCATCAAAACATGTTCTGCATTTATTGTTTTCTTATTGAGTTGGTTGCAAACTTCGTTAGCTTCTGAGCTAAGCAAATGAATAAACTCGGTACAACAATTTAGTACTAATTCTCTAGCTTCGTTTGCGATTCGAACTGATGGTACTAGTTCTTTTATCATTTTATTGATACTTGCTCTGGGCAAAGTTAGTTCATCGTCCTCTGTATTTCCCGCTAAATCTGACCTAGTCGCATTCGACATTTTGGATATTATAAACAAAGATTATAAATTAATTTATTCCAATTTTAAATGCTTCCTTATGTTTTCAAACAAACTCTCAAAATCAGCTGTTTTCTGACTGCTGACTCTGCCTCGGGCGCAGTCGCGCGTCGCGCAGCTCTCTTGATGTCAATAGAGATGTCAGATAGGGAATTATCGTTGCAACCGTTAAATATTATCGTACAATCTAGGTATACCCATGGTTGCCCATGGTACAAAGAAAACAAGGTATGATCGATAGCGGCTCCAATTTCGTTAAGTTTGCGCATACCACCTGTGACGTCATACGCCATACAAAGAATTAGGACATAACTAGTGATGGGAATAATCGAATTATTTTCACCATCGAATAATTAGTAATAATTCATATTTCACAATCGAATTAATAATTCGAATTATTTAGTAGTATTATAAATTTAACCTAAAAATAAATTCGTCCCAGCTAATGCTCGTCTAGGGGCTATTTTAAACAAATCTGAACCATTGCCATACCTATATTCTATCACTGAATAAAAAATTAAAAAAAATATTCTTTATTCAATGTATTCTATTAACTTTGCCGAAGCCGTTTAATAAACTAAACCATAATTTAAAGTTTTAAATTTAAAAGTGCCGAGTTTATGATTGTTTCAATTCCTATTGAAAAGCTCATATCTAAAATAAAAGCTTCTTCTAAAACGATAAAAGTATGTCCTTGTTTACGTGCGGTTTGTATTTCTTTTTATTTTATCAGTTGCAATCAATAATTATTTATATAAAAGAAGAAAATTAATTTTAGTGTTCTGTGAAATTTGTATCTGTTCTGTGGTACTATACTAATTACTAATATTCGTATTTGTCTGTGGCAGACTTCCGAAGGTAGCAAGTGCCCGCCACAGATTGGTTGGCTCCACGGGAGGAGAGTAGCAACCTTGAATCGCCACCCAGCTGATATCTGTCAATCGGGGAAGAAGAAGGATTATTCTGTGGATAGACATTCGACCTTCAACATTCACGTTTCGCGCCAAGAAACCGAATTCTAATGTTTTGTAATAGTTATTTAGTTTGTAACAATTGATCGAGTTAATTAAATGACTTAATTATTTAGTGTGCCTAATTTGCTACCCGCAACGGCCACATTGGTGACCCCGACGAACGTGTGAGTGCAACAAATTCAGATACGCAATGTCCACCTCCGACACGAACGACTTCCAAACCGACGATCAAGTCGTTATTGCCCGTGTAGGGATTAAAGCACCGGAGTTTTGGCGCACAGAGCCCGAACTATGGTTCCTACGCCTGGAAGCCCAATTCAGGCAAGCCAAAATAACATCTGATGACTGCAAGTTCGATCACACCGTAACAAGTTTAAACAGCGAGGTCCTATTAGAGGTAGCCGACATACTACGAAATCCAACTAGAGGTAGGGCCTACGAAGACCTCAAAACTAGACTGTTAGAGAGATATGGCAGTAGCGCTGATGACAAAATTCACCAGCTTATGGAGATGACCTTGGGCGACCTTAAACCAACACAGCTTCTCCACCGAATGCAAGCTTTGGCCTCAAATAACGTTTCTACGCAGGTTCTAAAGAAACTCTGGTTAGACCGCCTACCACCCCAAGCCCGGGGAGTCATAGCAATCCTGGATGGAGACCTGGAGGAATTGGCCAAGAAAGCTGACAAATATATACAATGTTCTAGTTTTCCTATCATGGCCATGGACGGAAAGCCTGCGTTAAACAACAAAGTAAGTGTGGACGAGAAAACTGACGGGCACTGCTACTATCACAGGAGATTTGGGTCCCAAGCTAAGAAGTGTAGAGCACCATGTACCTTCTCAAAAAACGATCAAGAGGGGGCGCAGTAATCATGACAACCACTGCCCCCCATGCACCACGTCGCCTTTTCGTCACAGATAAAGCCCTAAAACTGCAGTTCCTCGTTGACACTGGAGCCGACTTAAGTGTGCTGCCACGCAAAGCATGTTCTGCTTCAAAACCTAGTATGATACGCCTATACTCTGCTACTGGTTCCTGTATTAGAACGTTTGGGCAGAAACAGTTGACACTTGACCTTGGTTTTGGCCAGCCAGTCACATGGACCTTTGTTGTTGCAGATGTCACTACTGCCATCCTAGGTGCTGACTTCCTCGTACACCATGGTTTCACCGTAGATATGCGAAACAAGCGCCTTGTGTGTCCAACTATACCAAGCAGCATTACGTGTGTGTCTCGACGAGTAAGCGCGTTGGAGGTGGGAATATCTACTGCCCATCCTTATGACCGACCAACGGATGCACCAGACGACCCTGGAAGAGTCCAGCACTATATCGACACCCAAGGCCCACCAGTGTTCTCCAAGCCGCGCAGGCTTCCACCAGACCGTCTACAAGCTGCACGGGCCGAATTCAATCAACTTATACAAATGGGCATTGTTCAGCCATCAAAATCGCCATGGGCTAGCCCGCTTCACATGGTCCAAAAAGCCAACGGCCAGTGGCGTGCTTGTGGGGATTTCCGTCGGTTAAATGCAATTACCAAGCCTGATCGCTATCCAGTGCCACATATTCAGGACTTTGCAAATCAGCTACATGGAAAGAAAATTTTCTCTACCATTGATCTTGTACATGCATTCCACCAGATCCCAGTCCGCCCAGAAGATGTACAAAAAACGGCTGTTATTACACCTTTTGGTTTGTACGAATTTCTACGTATGCCCTTTGGCTTACGTAACGCCGCCCAGACACTTCAGCGGTACCTCGACCATCTCTTCCGAGGGTGTTCATTTGTATATGTGTACATCGACGACATACTGGTAGTCTCGGAGACGGAAGCAGAACACGAGCAGCACTTAGCAGTAGTTCTTCAGATCCTAGAAGCAAATGGACTCCAAATCAACAAAGAAAAGTCCAAATTCCGGATACGAGAGGCAAATTTCTTGGGCGTCACAGTCTCCCCAACTGGAGTCAGGCCTCTGCCAGCTAAAGTCAGTGCTATTCGCAGTTTTCCGCAACCAACAACATACAAACAGCTACGTCGCTTCCTAGGGATGGTTAATTTCTATCGACGCTGGTTACCGAATGCTGCAAAAGAGCTTATGCCACTCACCGAGCTACTTTCCCACCAAAAGAAAAAGCAACAGGACCTCAACTTGACTCCAGCAGCATCAAGTGCCTTCACCAGAGTTAAAGAACTCCTAGCTACTGCTGCCGAGTTGGTTTTTCCAGCACCCCATGCTCAGTTGAGCATGTCAGTCGACGCTTCGGACACCGCGATCGGCGGTGTATTGCAACAGCTTGTCGGTGAGCACTTACAGCCTATTTCTTTCTTCTCACGGAAGTTGTCGAAGACGGAGCGTAACTACAGTACCTACGACCGCGAGCTGTTGGTTTCTACCTTCTTGAGGGCATGCCGTTCATCATATACACTGACCACAAGCCCTTGACGTATGCCTTTCAGCAGCGACATGACCGTCAATCTCCGCGACAGATACGCCAGCTGGAATTTATTGGTCAATTTTCCACAGACATCCGACATGTCCAAGGAGAAAAGAACATTGTAGCCGACTGTCTCTCACGACCTGAGGTAGACGCAATAACCCATATATCACCCATCACCATTGACTTTGACCAGTTAGCTGAAGCTCAGACAACTGATGAAGGTCTACAAGAAGCTCTGCAGGACCCCACAAGCTCTTTAAACCTTCAACACATTGTCATACCAGACAGCGAACGACCCCTATACTGTTCAATCCAAGATGGGCGTGTACGTGTGTACGTGCCGGCGACCTTCCAGCGGGATGTTTTCTTGAAGTTCCACACCCAGTCCCACCCTGGACACGCTGCTACGCTGAGAATGATCGCCGAACGCTTCGTGTGGCATAATATGAACCGTCAAGTCAAGCAGTGGTCCATTGAGTGTCTTCAATGTCAGCGGGCCAAAGTAGGACGTCATACTGTTACACCGGTGACACCACTAGGAATGCCTGACGAACGATTTGCCCACATACATATCGACATTGTGGGACCACTTCCACCTAGTGACAATTTTCGATACCTACTCACGATCATTGACCGATTTACGAGATGGCCTGAGGCTATCCCTATTTGTGAGATAACTACTGAAGTAGTGGTACAAAAACTCGTCGAAGGATGGATATCCCGCTTTGGTGTGCCAGCGACCATTACTACAGATAGAGGCAGACAATTCGAGAGCCAGTTGTTCCGCCAGCTCAACACAGCACTTGGTGTACAGCACATAAAGACGACTGCTTATCACCCACAATCAAATGGATGTATCGAACGCTTTCACCGAACCCTCAAGGCTGCACTCATCGCTGCTGACGTCGTATCCTGGGTCGAAGCTCTTCCCCTCGTCATGCTGAGTCTACGGAACACCTTCAAACCGGACATCGCCTGTACAGCCTCCGATTTAGTGTTTGGTGCACCAGTTCGCCTCCCTGGACAGCTATTTGTTCCAAGTGCTACCCCAACTGACGAACACCGATTTGTTCAACGACTCCGTGAGACCATGGGAACATTGAGGCCTGTACCAACGAGCAACCACTCAGTTCGCACCGCCTATGTCCATCCCGACCTACAGACGACTACACATGTCTTCATACGTAACGACAAGGTGAAGCCTCCATTGACACCTCCATATAGCGGCCCGTACAGAGTTGTGGAACGAGATGACAAGTTCCTAACAGTGGACGTCCAGAATGTTCCCCAACGAGTCTCCATGGATCGACTGAAGGCAGCATATGTTCCAGCATCTCATCAACTGGCGGAGGAACATTCATACGCCAACCGTTTGCTGCTCAACGTATGCCAGCAGAACCGTTCACAACCAGTGGGTTCCTCACTGGGGGGGAGCCCTGTGGCAGACTTCCGAAGGTAGCAAGTGCCCGCCACAGATTGGTTGGCTCCACGGGAGGAGAGTAGTAACCTTGAATCGCCACCCAGCTGATATCTGTCAATCGGGGAAGAAGAAGGATTATTCTGTGGATAGACATTCGACCTTCAACATTCACGTTTCGCGCCAAGAAACCGAATTCTTATGTTTTGTAATAGTTATTTAGTTTGTAACAATTGATCGAGTTAATTAAATGACTTAATTATTTAGTGTGCCTAATTTGCTACCCGCAAC